GATATATATATATATATATATATATATATATATATATGCATATGTGTACATAGATAGTATATATATGAAGGAAAGAATAGCCACAGTTGTAGTTATGTCGGTCATCACGGCTATGGTGCCAGTTTTGCTCCGCAGCAGGCTAACCAAGGCTCTCATTCTCTTGGAGTCGCGAAATTAGTGCTGGACTCACCTAGAAGATGTTCTTACTTGATACTTGATAATTGAATGGGCCGTTCTCACTGGTTGTGCGAGCCCCAACATAATCCCCATTTTGCGGAGACCATAATCCCCATTTTGCGGAGACTTGTTGGTTAAGCCATTGTGGTACCTTGGAAACCCGCGGGAAGCCTGGCCAAAAAGTCATCCCAGGCCTTCACCACTACAGGCAGTCGCAGCTCTTGCAGAGCAGAGGGAGATTTACCACCATGCGACTTTGATACCAGGACGGTGGCGGATCCTTGTATTGGTTTACTCTTAACTAGGTTTCCTGATGGAAATGCCGAACTCCTTCTTAGCTTGGGAGACTCTACCAGAGGATGAATCCCACGCTGTACATCGCAGTCCGACACCCAGAAACACGTCCCAGCAATGATGAGGAGGTATTCCCTTGAGAGGGAAGAAGTTCATTCTCTGAAAATCAAATGGGAACGCTCAAGGCCGGGCTATCTTAGGACTCCAGCGAGTATCGACTCGACCAGCATTCTACGGCGTTCGAGATGAGGCGAAAATCGTCGAACAGTAGCCGAAGCCGCGTGTAATAATTGGAATATGTTCGCGGGTAGAGTTTGCGAGGAAACGAATCAAATGTCAGAAGTGCTGGAAAACGCACAGTAAACGTGTAGACGGATCATATAGGAATAAATTATATATATACATATATGCATAGGTATATATATATATACATATATATATATATATCCCACCAAACGGTTTAGCGGCTCATCGTGGCTACGAGGTGCTCCTCGGTCCAGGGCAGCGATATACAGCTGTGTGTTCATCACCCAGCAAGGTATCCCAAGGTGAGAAGGAGTACGATGTTTCCATCCGGAAGCTCAGCAAAGAGTAAATCAATAGCTTTGCCAGGATTCACCACAACTCTGGTATCAGACTATTCACGTGGTGGCAAATCTCCCTCTGATCTAAAGGAGGACGACTGCTTGTGTTGCTGATGACCTAAAGAAGGCTTTGTCTAGGCTAACGTCGGGACTCCAAGGAACTACAATGTATGCATGGATACAAAACTATGTAAACGTCAGCTACCACATGAAATATGGAGAAATATATTTATCGCTAATAACCAGCTGTTTTTGCAGCAGCAAACGATTTATGCATCACGGCATGATTCTTACACACATCGAAGCAGACTACTGTTAGGGGGTGCATATGAAATGTCCGATTTCATTGTTTTAATATCCCGTATAATTCTTTAGATAGCAATTCTGTTCCTTTTGTATATTCCATACGTATTTCTAAACTGTAAAATTTCCTCTTTCTATGCAGTATCTGTTTCGTCAAGATTTTTTATTTTAACATTTTTATAGGCTTTAGCTTGAGTACGAAACAACGGGATAATCGTGTCCTCTTTTCTACGAGTTGAAGAGCAGACATAATGCCGCATCAGGAGCTCGGAATATCATAAGGTTAGGGAGAAGGCAGTGTTGGCGAATCAACATTGCATTCATGGTTCCGGTAATTTCGATTTGGTGATTTCCACCTCGAAGTTAAGGGAAGCCGCGGACGTCCGAATGGACTGGACGACGACGATTTGAAGGCGCTAGTGCAAGCAAACATTCGAACAACTGTTCAAGAGCTTGCAGAACAGCTTGGCGTATGCACAGGAACACAGGAACGATTTCCACTCACTTGAATAGCATAGGAAAGACAAAGAACTCGACAAGTGGGTGCCGTACGAATTAAACAGTTATAAAAAATCATCGTTTTGATATTTCATCTGCTCGTATTCAACGCAACAAAAACGACCCTTTTCTTCATCGATTTGTGACGTGCGACGAAAAGTGTATTCTGTACGACAACCGGCCAGGTTCAGCTCAACGATTGCAAAGTGTTCAGGCTCTACAGAACTTGGCAAAGTGGCCATTGCACCAAAAAAGGTTATGGCCATTGTTTGGTGGTCTGCGGCCGACTTGATTCATCACAGCTTTTGAATACGGGAGAAATGATTACGGCAGAGAAGTATTGCTAAAAAATCGACAAAATACGCCGTAGCCTCTAAGGACAACGACCGGCACTAGTCAACGACCAAGGACCAGACCTTCTCCACGAAAATGCCCAGCATCACGATGCGGAACCAATGCTGCAGGAGTTGAACGAGTTGGGCTACAATACTTCGCCTCAACCGCCATATACATCAGACCTGTCAGCTACCGAGTTTCACTACTTCAAGCACACTGACCACTTCCTGCGCCACAAAAGCTTCATCAACCACGGAGACGAATGCCTACGACTAATTCATCGCTTCTAGAACTCCAGAATTTTATGCAACTGCTATCATGATGCTTGCTTCTTGTTGGAAAAAATGCGGTAGTTCTATTAGTATTTATCGCGATTAATAAAACTTACTGTGAAAAAAGTTATGCTTATTAAAGTTAACACTTAAAATCTGATATTTCACATGTTACAAAATAATTCTATAGACAACGATCGCGATAGGAGGAAACGAATGCGATGTCAATCGCGATACTCATTAAGACAACCTTCCAAGTATTCAAGTAGATAAAATTTGCTATGAACAAAGCAGGCCCTTTATCCAGTCACCTGGTTATGTCATCCATGACTCGTCGGTACCCTGTTCCTTCAGAAAATCGAATCATATGATCAATCAAGATCGAGAAGATAATTACTGAGAATTACAAATTTCGACCTGGTTCGAAGTTTGCAAGTAGCGCCGAAAAGGTCTGATAACTCAACTATACCACAACATCGATTTCTCGATTTATTAAACTAATTAATAATATCTCGATCTAGTGCATTCACACATATAGACGAGTCACCTGTTCTTTATATTACCCATAGCCTTAAACCGTGTGCAATGATTTTAGTAAGCGTAGATGACATAGCTCCAAAAGTGAGCTACCGCTCCATTGTAGCCATTTCTCGGCGTTGAATTGTACGGTAAAGCGGTTGATACATCTATTCTTTTTGGAGCCTGAAGTAAGGATTGTGAAATTTCGGTCTGGAACCTTATCTACGATTAGACCAGTGCCAGGACTCGTCATTCTAGAGACAGTATTGTCGTTGGCTGGGAAATGGTGATGACATGGAGAGGCCATGACCTGGTTTCAAAACTTCAAGGAAGGAAATTCCGATCAACCACTAAATTAAAGTGGAATAAGAAGTGTGAGAGAGATTCTGTGATCAGTGAAGACAGGCGGTTCATTTAACTATGTAATCACAGAGCGAGCACGTCGTTCTGCTATCTACTTCTACACACCAAGTACTTAAAGCTAGAATGAAAAAAAATAAAAAAAAAATGGAAAAGACCACCGTTGAGACGCCCAATGTGCTTTGAATTGTTGATACTAAATGTAGACAAGATTTCTTTTAAATATGAGACGACGTGAAAAAGAAGAGGATTACACAACTGCTCCCAATTCAACCATCACAACCAAAATTGCTTACAATTTTTCGGAAAATTAAACTACTAGCAAATTATGGTAAAACTGCCGATGATTGCTTACTATATATTTCCACTTTCACTGTGTGAAATAAGATAAAACTTACAAAACTTTTTACTTAACAAGTATTAAAAATACATAAATTGAAACGTTTAAAAGGTACCAGTACATAAGCATTACAGAGTGCATCATTTACTTCATGAAGATCAACAGAAAACCTAAACCGTTGCAAAGAAATGACATGGAACACAAAGAAAAAGAAATAAACGTTGCAAAGAAGCAAAACTATCAAGCATATTTATGTCTCCATTAGAGTATCTTCAAACTTTCCATCATTAGAAACAGGTTTGCCCGCATCAAATAACATATGTTGTCGGAAGAGATGCTCGATTGGAGGTAGCGGCATGGGAGTGTCCAACGCGCTATCTTTCTCACCCTCTTTCTTCATTAACTTGTCAGGCTAAGAACATGTTTCAAACACATCGTACAATAGCAGTTATCCTATTATCAGTGTCATTTTCATACTCAAACAGACAATAATATAAGCAATTGCATTATGTGCTATAAGAACACTCTCTTTATTGCAGAACAGCAATGTGTTTCGCAACTAGGCAAGTAAAAACCGCCATTCAGTTATTTACAAAGTAGAAAATATGCATAACGTTTGTGTAAGCAAAACGAGTCTAACCTGTGTCGAATTCTCAGCGAAATTAAGGTGGCCTTTCTTTCGTACCCGCATGATTTTCCGTCTCTAAATTATTAGCAATTGCATCGTGAGCTGTAAGAACCTCTCATTTACAGCAGAATAGCAGCCAGCGTGTTAGGCAATTAGTCAAGTAAAAATCGCCATTCAGAAGTTATTTATTAGGTAGAAAAGAAACGTGACTTTGCGTAGGCAAAACGAGTCTTACCTTTGCTTCATTCTTAGAGAAATTAAAGCGACCACTTTTTCGTGCCCTCATGACTCTTCGTGCTTCTTGATTACTCTCAACGAGAACCTTCTTCTGCAACAACATCTAAGGCATAAATCATGTACAACAACAAACAAACACAACAGGTGCAGAAATGTATGTATGTCTGAAGGCGATAGGAAATAATTACGGATTTTGGACAAAGAAACAAACAGAAAACGAGTAACAAACAGAGCAACGCAAAAAAATGAAAATTATATGATTGAAGCATATGCTATCATGCATTTTTATGGGTGCGAAAGAGTATGTTATCAAACTGAAAAATATCTCATATCAAAAATAGATGACTTACTCTAAGCTTAAGTTTAGTAATATGGTAAATTTACGTACTGTACTATACATCCACAGAACAATACGCGGATATTTGGATGGTTCGCTCTTATTGGTGGTGCGGACCCCAAAAATATCTCCACTTTTTTGGAGTTTTGCAGGTTTAGCCATTGAGGTATCTTGGAGTGTCGAGGTCAGCCTAGCCAAAGTCTGCTCCAGGTCATAACCACCACAAGCAGTAATAGCACTTAAGGTGTCAGAGAGAGATTTGCCTTCATGCGACTTGTTTGCAGATACCACGGCAGTGGTCAGCGGTGGATCCTAGGCAATGGTTTACTCTTAGCTGGATTTCCTAATGGGAAAGCCGAACTCCTTCTCAGTTTGGGAGGCTATGCCGAAGGCATGAACCTCTCCGCTGTACATGGAAATCCGACACCCACGAAGACCTCCCGAACACGATGGGACGTAAACCATTGGTAGCACATCCACGGAATAATAACACTCAAAAATAAGCACAAGAATGAAACGTAAAGATACCTTGATGTCTTTTGGAATATCAGAATCGGACTTAAATAGTGAAATGAAAACACCGCCCGGCGTGCGTCGTCGTTGCCCACTACTAATCTGAATACGATCACAGTCTAAAAGAGCTGGTCCGCGTGAAAAGGTACTTATTCCTACCATCATTCCTCCGCCGCGTTCCACTTCTCGCGTTTTCTCAAAGAGTGATAGAGCCTAAAAATTAAACCATACTTATTTTGAACTTGAATGCGTCATTAGTAAAAAAAAGAAGCCCATTTAGAGTGAACACAATAAACCACACTGGTCTTCCGCTCACCTTACCACTACCACATGCAAGGACGACAGAACGTATAAGTTTCAGGTTTCGCTCTCCTAGAGCTTCAGCTATTTCGTCCCCTAGTTGCTCAGTTGAAATGTCCGTGGCAAACTGCACTGCCATCAATTTTTCCAAAGAATATAACGGGCTGATTAAGTGGCTACGATCTGCTACCTTAAGCATCAACAACATTTTTCAATGTTCAGTTCAGTACTCTAATATGTTGGCATTCCCACATTTCTTTGCCATGAGCGTTTCAGCCCTCTGGTACTATTTTTGCCGTTGTATCCACTACCAATGTTATCGCACATATCTGGAAAGTGAGATGGTTATGAGAAGCTGTATAGGTAGCATGGATAGGAAATATGCAATTTCGAAATGAAAAAAGCTAATTACTGTACGGAGTGAATAGGAACAATAAATAACACAGTGCTCCGCTCAATTTTTAATATAACACATTTCCATAGGAAAAGGAAAAAGGCAAAGCGTTTCATCCCAGAGATAGACTTGTTCCGAATGACCTACAAGCTAAATACCATTTACCATTGCTCCGAAATTCAAGCAATAATACAAACAAAAAGTAATGCATAACATTTCATGAAAATGCACAGATATGCATGCAAAGGCTTATAAACATAGACGGAACTCTGAACATCAAACACTTTTATTACAAGTTCCACAGTCAAATTATTCTGCCATTCTGCCAGTTTATTAGAGAAGCTCATAATGTGCACACACAAGGTTAGATGTCTTTGTAAGAGTGGAAAAAAGAACGTCATTAACTGTAGTTCACGTACCACATGAAGAAGATGAAAGAGCTATCTATACACAGAAAACAAAAAGGAAAGAAAAGCAGTTACTCCCAAAATATCGCGAACCTTTATTCCTGGAAATGCAAGAACGCAATTGAAGAATGAGCTGCACAGTAGATAGAGAAGTTTCATTTTATGTTTAAACGCATTCTAAATGCTCTTAGCCTCGGTGACAGCATGAGACATGTATGACTCATTCTTGACTGTTTATCTGGCCAAACAGAGCTTTTCTGACATACTTCCGTGTATATTTGGAGACTTCTTCAACACCAATGTTCCAGGTGACGTGCAAAAAACCACTCTTTACATGCAATGATGCACAATGAAGCGCGTCTTTCTGACGACTTTGCCCATCTGAATTCCGTCGCATCAGTACCACAAAGACTGACGCTGGTGAGCAACCCTAAAAAATAACGAATATACTACACGCTTATAATAATGTGACTAAAATATAGCAGATGTCCTCCATCCGTCCAGAAGCGAATGCCTTCAAGATTCGTGCTGTGATCGCTGCCTTTAGTATCAATGAAGAAACATAATAAACGCTGCAGCTAATGAAGGTTTTTATGGACCACGATGGTGGATTCCATGGTCTGCATGAAGTAAACACGTCTCACTACATGGCGTGAACTAGCGATTGTTATTGTTGTTGTATGCCATTCACACTTTGATTAGCGTGCACCCAGAGACATACGCAGTGTGGTTTAAATGGTGTGCATTAGTGCATTAAAGGTTTTCCAACTCTATAAAACACCATTTGGACCCATTCTTTGTTCGGAAGTCAGAGAATTCTGGAAATGATAGGCTATAGCAGATGTTAAAAACTGACAGTATCGAACAGAACGACATATTTATCACGGAGTTTTTAAGCTTTCACGTATGTATATTTTTACGTGTGAATTTTGGTTGATAACAAAGATCAATTTTTGCGTTAGCCCTAGAAACTGTACTATTTATAATAAATATAAAACAACCGTCTCATCATACTTTCACCATGTTAAAAGGACTAAATGGCTGTCAGTACTGTCACACCATCAAGAAGCATGATTATCTCTCTATCATTTCGCGTTGAAAACTGGCTTCTGCCGATTCGACGACTTATTAACTTACTACTAACGAGACCACTCGTGTAATAGTAATAGTGATAAAATGAAGTACCACATACCATATTTAAACGAGATTTTCTGCTCGAAATATGTCCGCTTAAGAGTGACACAATTTCCTCTTTTCATAAAATTTTTTAGTTAATGACGTCTTTTAACATCCCATATTTCTAAGATTAAAAGAAGCGAGTATACCAGTATACCTCCGAATTAAGTTGTTCCACTCCAAAAACTTTACAGCTGTGTTGACTAAAAACTTAGGATCGTCGACACCACCACAAGGAACAGTCTACAAACAGCTTTCTGTCTCTCCGGGGTCAGCAAATTGTAAACGGAGTTGTCTGGGAAGATGGTAGCACCAACTCGATAAAAAAAAAGAAAGATAATAAGAAAAAGTTTTTCGAAAAAAGCAGAAGAAAGAGTACCATTAAGAGCAGTGGAGAGAAGTCAGCATCATGTGACTCGAGTCGAGTGAGTGTACAAGTTTTGGCGGATGAATCGAACGACGACGATGGTTTCATAATGGATTAAGCAAATAAACAAATAAACGATAGGTTAAAACATATTCAATAAATCTTTGACGTCAGTCGATATAGGGTAGAGGTCATGCTAACAGCAAATACATTTTCACCAATTATTTGTAGCTAACGGTTTCGAACCTGACTACGAAAGAAACGACCAGACACAGGCAGAAAAAGAACAATTCATGGAAATGACAACCGCTGAGCAAATCTGTATTTCTTTTAAGAGAGGAAGCGTCTCGTTTCCAAGGCTAAAGATATAGTTGAGTGGCGCACTGCTTATAAATGCCATTCTATGGGTGTTTAAGTCACGCCAATACACAGCTTTGAAGGGGTGCTGAGTCACGTTCATTCAGTGGATAATGCAAGGTGTAATGAAGGAAACATATAATGTGCCAGCTTGTCGAACTTGTCTACAGAAATTGCATGGGAGTTCATGGACCTGGTGAAAACGTTGGTATCAATGAGGTTCTTGTGCCATTTAGAAGGAAAGTGACATTCCGCAAATACATCTTACATAGGAGACAGAAGCATGGCACTAAGATTCTCAAGTGATGCACGAAAGATGGATAAAGATATAAAGTTAAGGTATAAGTTCATAGTGCACTATAGCTGTGTAAAAAACCATCAGACTTACGGACGAATTGCTGAATGAAAGAAAGAATATTTATAGCCGTACTTTCTATACTGGTGTCTCGGCGGCTGAAAACTTGTGTACGATGGAAATCCTTATCACTGTACCATACAAGGAAAAAATGAACGATCTCTAAGGCAAGTTAATCACCAGAAGCTGAAGACTAGAGCATTAAGTAACGAAATCGTAGAGTTTTGGTGGCCTTAAAACAAGAAGACGAAAGTAACATCACTAAGATCAATAAATATAAGAAACTATCCCGACGTTAGTATTTCACATGTGCTGGAATACATGCAAAGCAGATGAGAGCCAGAACCAGTCGATGCAACAAATACTTTTCTTTATGTTACTTTAACAATTAGCTCAGTGTTTACCATGGAAGTTGTAGTTACATTGTAAAATTACCCGTGAACACAGCTACGGTGCTAATCCCAGCACTTCTTACATTCAATTCGTTACCTCGCACTCATCGTCCGCAGAGTTCCTCGCGTATTTTTCGCGTTGTTTCGGCTTTTCCTTAAGGATTTCGTCTTCCTTACGATTATCGTAGAATGCTGGTCGAGAAGATGCTCTTTGAAATATTAAAGATCAAAGAGTGTTTCCACGTCCACTGGTGCAGAGCGCTGGAAAGAGGCCGAACCAGCACCTCGCTTCCTGAACGACTGCATCTGCAACGACTGAACGACTAACCGTTCCACTACCAACGATGAAACCAAATCTCTTAGCGTTTCCAACCTCCACACGCAAAATAAAACCGCTATGCTAGTATCCGTCACGAAATTGAAATCGAACGAACGAATTCTTCCAAAAGAAAAAAGGTTTCTGTGGACAACGTATAGCTTAGGCCGACTATTCCAGGTCGACAGGGAAAATCGAGTCGACCAGCATTTAATGTGAATCACCACAGAGCGTACTAGTCAACGAGCAAGAGAACTGACAGGTCGAGGGGAAAGGACGAGAAAACTGTGTGAAATTCCAAACACCGAAAAACATTTGACAGTGGAAAAGTCTGTACTACCGCATAATAATGCACAGCAGAGAGTGAAGTACGTCGCTTTTTAAAAATGGAGATAAAGTAAGTCTTGCACAAAACTACTACTAATAAATAAAGTCAACAATTGATGCTTTCGGTGTGACAATTATGGTCCGAAAGTCGCGTTAGCATACTGCTGATAATGTTTACATAACTAAAATACTCGAGAAGTTGAAATTGCGGGTCAGTAGAAGTTATTTTGCTCAAGCTACTTAAGAGGAAACATAGTTTTTCAAAAGCTTAGCATTTTCAATAGTTCAGTTTTATTTCTAAAACCGTTTAGAACCAAACTGTCCACAGAGAAAACAGAAAATATTTAATCTTTAAAAATTCCAAACGGATTCCCGGTAGCAACAAACGTCAACGGCGCATTCGAAGAAATCACCGCGCTATAACGGGCAAAATAATGCTTGTACAATCGCTTTCATTTTCGAAATACGAACTCGAACAAAGAAAAAGTGATGCATCTCCGATTTCTGAACTCCAAAAGTCAGGAATTAACTTTGTTAGAATGGAATATCTTGGTCTTATTGATGAAGATCTGTAGATTTTAAGACTTTTACTCTAATCAATGCTGTCCAGTTTGAGCCGAGACGTCTTGGTTTAAATTTGAAACCGGCCATTATTCTCGTCCGGTGAGTGCAAATCGCGTTAGATCCTAAGTGCTGAAGCAATCACAAATTATGTCTGGTACATCAGACGTCATTACGGATTTACAACCTCCCTTTCTAACACGTAGTGCCATAGCGGTTTCTTGCGCCCCTGTCAAGTGATACGACGCCTAATTTTTAGCCATTACGGGCGTTCTGGTTTCCCTTAAACAGACAGCAATTTTCGACACCTAGAGAACTTCAGGGGTTAAAAACACGAAAAGATTGTGGAAGACTACTTTGCTCTACCGTTATATCTTCATGAATAGCACGCATTCTACTTCTTGCTACCTACTCTAATGGTTCATCCGGCAAACACATTATTATCAGCATTAGCAATGTTTTGCAACTAATTTTGTGCCTGTTGCCGCGTTTTTTTCTAAACGAACATCTAGCGCAGTAACTATTCGTAACTATTCTTCATTTCTTC